CAGGACTATGCACTGGTTTATGGTACCTAGGCATCAATTAAGGACCTGACTAGAGAGCAAGGAATTCCTCCATTTGATCATCCAATGGAGCTCAAATGCACTAATGAGTTCAGGGCCTTTACCAAATTCTAATCTGACAACTTCTCTGCTCTGAAGTGTCTTTGGACACAACATCATTGCAATTAGAAAAGCTCTAGGACATCAACTTCTAGATGGCACTAGCAATGATTGTGAAGACCTAAGAGACCATTTCCTGAAAAACTATTAAATAGTCTGGTACTTTAAAGAAAATGATTCTCAGTTTTGCTGTTGGTTCTCTTCAGGGATTGGTTCATATAGATATTCCTTTTCATGGGGTCTCTAGAAACCATTGATAATTATTGAACACTACAATGTTTAGGGCAGTGATATAGAGTAGATGTGAGAGTTCAGAATGAGAAGATGGTGCAAGGAAACAGGGAACAGTAGGCTTGGGTTGATTTTGTGAGCCTGGACCATTAAGTTGAAATATAAAAGGCAAAGCAAAAAAAAGAGAAACAAGCTAGGAGTTCATATTAGAGATGGGCTAAGTGAACCTGGCTTAAATGCAATGCCAGATTCAACGTAAAAAATAACCAGAAGAACAAGAGATTTAAGGTGGGGGGTTCAAAGATTCATAAGAGAGTAAATTGGTGGGGAATTGAGTGACAAAGGAAAAATGCTTCACTCTCACAGTTCAGTGAACAGAGTAGGTAAAGTGTCACTCAAAGCATGGAATAAATCTAAAATGAGGTAAAACTGACGAGCCATCTCTCCAGTGGCTCCCTTCCATCCTTTTAATGCAGCTATCTTGTAGTTCAAGCTGGCCTTGAACTCCTTGTATAGCCAGGGATGACCTTGAATTCTTGATTCCCCTGCTTCAACTTTATAAGTGCTGGATTACAAGATTATGGGGAAGGGTGGGAAGCTTGCCTGTTGTCTGCAAATAAAAGTTTGTATTAAGTATAAAAATTTACCAAAAAATCAGGGAATAAAGTCAATGGAGTAGGGAAAAGAGAAACATGTTCTAGAGGAGGACCTGGGGAAGAAATCTCATCCAAGGTTTTAGATAAAGAGCTGAAATTTGATAAATGTTTATGTCATTGAAACATCTTTAAGTTGTGAAAATTTTAGAATTTCTTCAACTAAGGTACTGGAAGATTTTGAACTCTTTGTCTTCATATTTTATATTCCAAAGGTTTTCCTCCACTGGTCCTTTTTTAATTTTTTTCAATTTTCATGTATGCTGGTATGAGAGTGTGAGATTTCCTACAACAAGAGCCACAAATAGTTGTGAACCACCATGTAGGTACTGGGAATTGAACCCAGTTATTGTGAGAGAGAAGCCAGTGTTTTCGACTGCTGAGCTTTCTCTCCAGCCATGGATTTTGAACTCTTAATTGAGACCTCACAATGTCCCTGGTCTACCCAGTATTTTGAAAAAGATGTCATTCAAACTGACCCCATGTCTAGAGGAGACGGACTATCATTTTGGTGTCCTGGATATTTCACACATTTAGCACATCATAAGAATCTTAATTGTAGTTACTTTTTTGCACCCACCAAATCCCCAGAGACCTGGGGAGACCCTCAAGCCATACTGAGCCCCATCTGCCTCAATCTAAACCTTGACCCTGCTCCCATTGTGAGAGGTGAGTGCCAGGTCTTCTCCTGCACCCTGTGTCCCCCGGTAGGAGGCCCTTGACTGGGGCATATCACACCATACCACCCACCAAATCCCTAGAGACCTGGGGGCAGACCCAAACCATCCAGCACTGCATCTGCTAACATATAAGCCTTGGTCCTGTCCCTACCCAGAGGGGTGAATGCAGTCCCTAAATTTTCCCTGCATTAGAGAACCTTGACTAGGGCATATCACCCCATTCTTCCCACTGAATCTTCAGAGATATGGGTGTCCTCCATAACCATCCAGCACATTGTCTGTCATCATTGGAACATTGCCCCCTCCTACAGAAGGAGAGAAAGCCCAGTGACCTGGGGGCACCTTTGTCAATCCCCAAGTCATCCATCACTGCATCTCTGAACATTTGAGCCTTGACTCTGCCCTCACTGGGAGGAGAATTTCAACCACCTAAGCCACAGGACCCACCTATACCAACTGGGGGAAAAGAGATTCCTCTGTAAAACAGGCCACACCTGAATCCTTTGGAGGAAAAGATTGGTAGATGAAATATGAAAACACATTCAGTTTCAGGATGTCGAATTTATTAATTGTCAATCTCAGTGTCTATGTTACTGTGTTATGTTCAGGAAGTGGCTCCTGTCCCAATGCATTCAAGGGTATTTCCCACTTTTTCTTCTAAGAGGTTCAGTATGGCTGGATTTATGTTGAGGTCTTTGATCCATTTGGACTTAAGTTTTGTGTTTGGTGATAGATATGGATCTATCTGCAATTTTCTACATGTTCATATGCAGTTATGCCAACACCATTTGTTGAAGATGCTTTCTTTTTCAATTGTATAGTTTTAGCTTCTTTGTCAAAATCAGGTGTTCATAGGTGTATAGAATAGTATCAGGGTCTTCAATTTGATTCCATTGGTCTACCTGCCTGATTTTGTGCCAATACCAAGTTGTTTCCATTACTATAGCTCTATAGTGCAGCTGAAGTTCTTCTATAATGAGATTGATGACTACATTAAATGCCATCATAGATCCTTTGTCCAGTAGTTAACAGAAGCAGAGGCAGAGGTTCACAGTTGAGCACTGAGACAAACTCCTGGAATCCAGTTGTAGACAGGGAGGAATGATGAGGAAATGCTCCAAGACCATTCTGGGGAAACCCACAGAGGCAGCGACTTGAGCACATGGGAGCTCAATAACCCCATTCTGACAGCTAGGGAAACAGCATTGGACTGAACCAGGCCCCATGAATGTGGGTGTCAGTTGGGGTAGTTGGGCAGTCTATGGGACCTCTGGCAGTAGAACCAGTTTTTATCCCTAGTTCATGAATGGGATTTGGGAGCCCATTCCCTATGGAGCGATACTCACCAAGCCCAGATACACAAGGGAGTGCCTAGGTCCCTCGCTGGAGGCCACACTCTCCCTGGGGAGTGGAAATGGAGTAGGATGGGGGCTTGGTGAAGGGATAGGAGGACAGGAGGGATAGGGAACTGGGATTGGTATATACAATAAGATTGTTTTCATTTAAATAAAAATTAATTCAAAAAATTGAACAATGATGGTATGTGATCTTCTGTGTGCTGTGAATATTTCTCTTATTGATGGTTAAATAAAGCTGCTTTGGTCAATGGTCAGACAGGAAGTGACCAGGCAGAAAATATAGGCAAGGCTACGACACTAGAATTCTGGGAAGAGGAACAGGGAGAGAGATTTTCAGGGGAGATGCCATGTAGATACCAGGAATATAGTATCCCTGGGGATTCTTTGGTAAGCCAAGAACATGTGGAGATACACACACTAATAGAAAGGGGTTAATAATTAAGGGAGAGCTAGCTGATATGAAGCCTGAGCCTTTGGCCAAAGAGTTTATAAATAAAAAATGAAAGATCAGGCTATACCACCCCTGGCCATATTCCCAGAATCCTACATCTTGCTACAAATATTTTCCCTGTGACAAAGTAAAAGTAAAAAGCACTCACTTTTCACACATTTCTCAAGATTTTATGAAAGCCCTATAAACAACTACCTATGAACATAACACTTGCAATTTTTACTGGGCCTTGTGTCCCACTAGGCCATCTGTCACACTCTGCTCCACTCTGATGTTGTTCGTGTATCTTCTCTTGAATGTCCAACATCTCCTCCAAGGACCCATTACTTAACAGACACAAAATGAAAATCCCCCCCAAAACGAATGTCTTAAGTGTTGAGGTGCCAATGATTTGGGGTATAATAAAATCATCAGAAAGTAGAATGTAATTAGAAGTGGTTCATAGCAGAGTCCTTGCAGGTTAGAATGTTGGCTCCAAATTCCTTAACGAACTCTAAAACTTTCACAGTAACTCATGAATAATCTCAGCCCTTTGGATTCTGGTAATGTCTTGAGTAACCAATGTTCAGGGTCACACTATTCTTATCTTTATCCACCATCATGTAATTCGTGCGTGGTGTTGTCACTGACATTTTTGCGAATCTGAGATGCCGCTGTAAACTGTAAGGATTTGTCTTCTTTCCATACAAACCAGCTCAGACTCCTGTATCCACAATGAAGAACAAAGGGAGGCAGCCTCTTCCACTGAGTGAAATGTCACATAATTGGGGGTGTGGCATATAGGAGAAAAAATGGTTACTGATTAACCTAAAAAGAGAGCTGAATATATTGCTGCATACATAGAAGACTGACAGGGCTTGCTTTCACTGTTATTATAAATCTCCAATCACAGTCTTACGATGATAACCTTACTCTTTCTCAATCACATGTTTTTGCTTTGCCCCATGAGGTGTGTGATTCCAACTTTCATAAATGGTAGATTATAGCTATTTTCTGGCTCATGGCAGACTCAGCCTCATACCTCTCGAGCAGTTGTAGGAAAAGTGACCAGGGGATTATCCATAACAAGAACTTCAGGAACTGATGTGCTATAACAGATGTAAATTGATGTCGGCTTAGTGTGTTCAAGTTTTCGGATTAAACAGTAGCTGTGGTTTCAGAGTCTTGTGCCTGTGGAGTTTAGCTTCCATAGAACATATATTATATGTACAGAGCATCCAGGAAATTTTGCAGCCATCCACCTGATATGAAAAGTGGGAATAATTTGTTAAAAACATATTTATCATGTACTCCTCAAACCAGCCTGGACCAAAGAAAGACTGTGAAATGTGTCACATAAAGGGGGAAAATGTCTAGGTGCCAAGAATTCTGCTAGAATTGGATGAAAGTACCACTAGTGGAAGAAACCTGAATGATCCTTAAGATTTATCTTCCACAGACAAATATTTTCCCCAAAGAAGTTTTGTATTGTTTAGATTTTCAAAAAGTGGATTCTGAAAAATCATGCAATTTAAATACCTATAATAACATTAGCAGACTCTGTATCTTTTATCCAAAGAATGCAGTGTCTGAAGAGAGGGGAGGATTGACTCATAAGTACAAAGGGGCTTAAAGTGGGAAAACACAAACTCATAAAGCTTGTGATTGTCATTGGCCACCAATTTTGATGAGACAATAGAGCACTGCAACCATGTGAGATGGTAGAGAGGGTATAAAAAGCCAAAAAGGTAAACACACGGACAAGGATGTTCTGGGTGGCTCTGGACTCAGGAGAGTTACTGTGGAAAGCACAAGTGCTTCGGATGTGTTGAACTTTCTGTTTATGCCTATATAAAAAGACAATCATTGAGATGCTAGACCAGGTGATCAGGACAGAAAATAGAAGTTCAGGAAACACAAAGAAAGCTGTATATAAAGAGACTGTGACTTTGTCATGACCTATAACAGTATACAGTTCAAAACCTGTCTCTTTTGTTCTGTTTTTCTTTCTTAATTTTATGGACATATACAAAGGAAACAGAACATTTACCATTATGTACAATAACCAGCAGAGAGAAATGTAGAGACCAATATTTTTGGGAGATTTGGCTCTAAGATTCTTCCAACAGGAGTTTCTAGGGCTGATGATGATGGCCTGGAAGACACTCAAGAGACAGA